GGGACTGAGAGCGAGGGAGGGGGGCTCCCTGTACATCAAGAATCCAGAAATGGGCCCTTGGTCGCCACGCGACGAGCCGGCGGGCCAGCGATTCTCCTTGCTGAGGGTGTGTCTCATCTCCTATTTCCCTCTGAAGCGGGAAAGGGGCACACACATATTACCTTCTGCAGACCCACCCTGCCACCCTGCATGTCCCCACCTTTGCCCTGAAAACCCTCTTGTCCCCCCCACACTTCCCCCAGAACAACATAAAGCACCTTGCCAATGTGGTAGCTGTTGGCCACGGCCAGCACTCGGCCTGCTGACCTGGCGGCCTCTCGCCTCACAAACTCGGCGGCAGCCTGGATCACCTGCTCCTGGGGTGGAAAGGTCCAGCGTGGCGCACAGTAGGTGGTGTCCAGGACCAGCGTGTCCAGAGTGCCCAGCGCGCGCAGCGCGGGGTAGGCCATCATCGCGCCGTCGTCCCAGCGCATGTCGCCCGTGTGCAGCACGGTGCGAGGGGGCCGGCCCCCGCCGTCCCCGGGGATGACGAAGAGGAACATGACGGCGCCGGGACAGTGGTTGGCGGGGAGAGGGGTCACCGCCACCCCGCCCACCTCCACGGTCACATGGGGGGACAGGGGGCACACGACCCCGGCGCGCAGGCCCATGTCGCGGATGAGCAGGCGGGCGGTGACGGGGGAGCAGTAGATGGTCCCCGCGTCGAAACCCTTGGTCAAGCCCGTGGTGTGGTCGCCATGGAAGTGGGTGAGGAAGAAGTGGCGCGCGCCGGGGCGCAGGAAACGGAAGCCGTCCACGTTCAGGCTGGTGCCGGGGATATACTTGAGCGCCTCCACCTGGCTGGCCATGCCGCCGTGGAATTGCTTGCGGGCAGGGCGGGAGAGCTCCAATCGGGCGGGATTGAGGGAGAGGCAGCTCCTGCCCGGGCTGGGAGCCGGGGCAATCAGGCCTGGTGAAAGGAGCCTACAAACTCGAAGCCAGCACTCCCAGTCTCAAACCCATCATCGGACTCGACTCCGTCCACTGAGGTGTCTGTGAGGATAGGGGTCAGACACAGCCTAAGCAGCAGCTTCTGCCGGAGACTGAGCACCAGGCACTGTCAGGGAAGTGCACTTGCACCCTCCATAACCCCTCAATGCCGCCCTGTCCACCTGGAACTGCCATGTTGTCGACTTCCTCCACATCCACCTCGTCTTCGCCGGTGTCGTGCTGGGGTAAGGGTGAGTCCGCCGGATGCGGCAGAGCAACAGCGCCCAACGGGGTGAGGTCGCGTCTCCAGTCTCCCACGTGCTTCAGCTGCGTTGCGGGTGGTGGTATGGAGAGGAGGAGGTGTATCAACAGGCGGGGTGGGGTTGTCGGGACACCTGTACCTGCCGCGTCGTCCTTCATGTTACCTGCTGTGAGAGCTCGTTCTCGAGCAGGATGATATCGAGGAATCTGTTGGGGGCAGGGCCCAACAAGTCGACAGGGGGAGGAGAAAAGGTGGGGCAGGGGAACATTGGCGCCTGGCAGGGTCCCTCCTCCGGAGGAGGTGCAAGCGGTATGCTGGACAGCTCTACCCTGTCCAAATTGCAGCCTGGTATTTACGTCTATAATTCTCAACACAAATCGCCAGTATTTATCCCTTGTGTGAGTCTGTAGCACTGCGATCTGAAGCGATCCTGGTGCTGCGCATTCAAAGCATGAGGCTCCGAGCATCAATGGAAAGTTGGAAGGCTATGGGCGACCTGTCCATCGCAGAGGAGGAACATGCAACCCTCTTCTCTCCGGGATGACCTGAGCACCATCCATCGCTACTCAATTCTTGCTCGGTGACAGGGTACACACGCACTGTGTTTGAGAGCCACCCCCTGGATCAGTCAGTGGTGTCTCCCGTGTTCTGTAGACACCTGCTTGGATTGAAGGTCGGGAGGAATCCGTAGAGCCCCGAGCGATGCAGTATGGGACTGGGGTGACCCCCCAGGTTTTCGTCCCTCCCCAGCCTTCTGTCCTGAACCCCCAGCCCGGCGTCGACTGGATCACACCAGCGTCGTCCAGCTATGCCCCCGACTCCAGTGCCTACCCCTCGTACGGAGGGGTCGGCACCTCAGGACATGGCGTTTATGGTAGCTTCGAAGACGAGGCACCCCTCCTTGAAGGTGACACCCTAGAACTTGGATTCTCTTCAGTGGCGGTGGGCAGGGGGCCACCTGTCGGCTCCAAGGGGCTTGATGGAGTTCACCTTTAGCCAACATCGTCAGGAACTCTGCTCGATTGCTTGCCCCACTCACACGTTTGTTTCAGGCCGCCTCTTCCACCATCACAGAACTGGGCATCGACATTCCCGCCATCATCAATCGGACAGCTGCCATTCTGACGATGCGGCTGTCTAAAGAAAGCTTGGAAAGCTTGGACTTGGGTGGACCCCTCATATTCATGGCCCTCCTAGGCTTCGCCCATCTCCTGGTGAGGAAGTACTGCATCGCAGGCGGTTTGGGTAAGGCAGTGGCCCGGCGTGACGATGGCAGGCTCGGACGAGGGTGATAGGGACGTCTTATGAGTGCTGTCGGACATTGGGCCAGCAAAGACCTTGGCCTTGCCATACAAAGCACCTGCACCGGGTCACCCTCCACCTCCCCTTCCCCTACACCCCCCTGGCTGCCCAGGTGGGTAAGCTCCATTTCGGCTACATCCTCGGCTGGACGGTGGTGGGCTCGGGCCTCATCTGGTTTGTGCTGAACAGCATGACGGGGTCAGACCCCGAGGCTGCTGACCTCGGCCTCTACGCCTGCTGCTGCCTGCTGGGCTACGCCCTGCTGCCCCTTGTGGGGCACGCCCTGCTATCCTTGCTCCTCCCTAGGCACGCACGGGCGGGCTTTTTGGGGGGCCCACGTAGTCTGCGGTCTGGCACCCGCATGTTAAGACTGCTGATGGGTTACCTATCACCACACCAGGCAAGAGCTCAAACCCCTCCCCCTGGCCCCGCAGGAGGTCGCTGGCGGCGATAGGTCTGGGCGTGGCCGCCGTCTTCTGGAGTGCAGGCACCGCGGCCAAGCTCTTCACCAAGCGCAGCCCGGCGCTGCGGGGCCAGACCTCCGTCATCATGTACCCCGCCACCCTCATGTACACCGCCTTTGCCCTGCTCACCCTGTACTAGCCCTGTGGAGCCATGCGAGCCGTGAGGATCCGACACCCGCGCCCCACGAGGGGCGGTGAACGGGGCAGGGGAGGGCAGGGATGCAAGGGGAGGGGGGGGGGGGGGCGAAGGCGGTGGCGC